GAACCTCTCTTATAGCTGCTTAGTTACTTGGATGAACCTCTCTTATAGCTGTTTAGTTACTTGGAGTCTTACACCACTCATGCTCAACCATCTAACATAACGGTCAGTCTTACACCACTCATGTTCAACCATCTAACATAACGGTCAGTCTTACACCACTCATGTTCAACCATCTAATATAATGGTCAGTCTTACACCACTCATGTTCAACCATCTAACATAACGGTCAGTCTTACACCACTCATGTTCAACCATCTAATATAATGGTCAGTCTTACACCATTCATGTTCAACCATCTAATATAACGGTCAGTCTTTCTTCACTCATGTTCAACCATCTAATATAACGGTTAGTCTTACACCACTCATGTTCAACCATCTAATATAACGGTCAGTTTTACACCACTCATGTTCAACCATCTAATATAACGGTCAATCTTACACTACTCATGTTCAACCATCTAACATAACAGTCAGTCTTACACCACTCATGTTCAACCATCTAATATAACGGTCAGTTTTACACCCCTCATGTTCAACCATCTAACATAACGGTCAGTCTTCACCACTCATGTTCAACCATCTAATATAACGGTCAGTTTTACACCACTCATGTTCAACCATCTAATATAACGGTCAGTTTTACACCACTCGTGTTGTTGATCATCTATTAGTTATATCTCTTTATAATCAAAATACTGATAACACTTTCTAAGACGAATGAATACGTATACAAAATAAAGTCATTGATTGTGAAGTGGTAATGTTTAGAATGACATTCTTTGTAAATCGCTGGACCCATAATTACATCGTTATAAATAAACGCATTATAACTGACCCAACTTTAAGGCTCCATTATATCCTGCATTAATTCCCTAGAAAGAGACGCAAAATTGAAGCTGTATTGACCATGGAAAGGTGATAAAAGAGTTTAATACAGTTTTCGGTCAACAGTTGCTAGGTTTGTTTCCTTAGTGCTGATTCGATCAAAAGCTTTATAATGTCTGATTTGCAGTAAAAGCGTCAGAAACCTCTTAAAAAGTAAAATCATATTAACGATTATTGTCTAAATAAATCAACCACCATTGTGTCAATAAATCAACCACCATTGTCTAAATAAATCAACCACCATTGTGTCAATAAATCAACCATCATTGTCTCAATACATCACCCACTATGGTCTCAATAAATCAACCATCATTGTCTCAATAAATCACCCACTATTGTCTCAATACATCACCCACAATTGTCTCAATAAATCAACCATTATTGTCCCTCTAGTTACTGTAACCATCTTCAACAAACTTCACTTTAAATATGATATATTTTATCACTTATACAGCCCAGACTGTCCAGGTTAGACGATCACACCAAACCTTTCAGTATCTTGCTTGTGTTCTGTCACCATTTAAAACAAAGCCTTGATATAAGCGGTTTAGTATCTCAACAATCACTTTTCATGTAATCAATTACAACAAATATTGAGTAGCACAAAAGTAGAAATGAAAACACTTTTCTTCGTAAAACTGAAGCTATAACTGTCTTTAAGAGGAGTAGTAGCCATCAGAGTAAGAGATTCATTCTAGGTGGAGCTGGAGCTTTTAAAGAAACTAATTTGTATTCGTTCTACGCGGATCTGGAGCTATAGATTCGCTGTTCTTGGAGTTAGAGCTATCAAATTAACAAACTCGTTGTACACTGAACTGAATTATTTATTCGACAAAATCGTTCTGTCTAATTAGATGTATTCTCTAGGGTGTTACCATTCGGAATGAGGGTGAGATTAAGAACGTTGTACCTAGGCTCTGACTTTTCATTAACAAAACAATTTCTTTCTGGATCTAGAGACAAATGTACAATGAACGTGGCTGTGGTAATGAATTCAGAGCTTCTCATGAACTGACGTCCTAAGTGTGGTTTCTGGAAAATAATTCGCTCGCTTCGTTTGATCAGGTTTCTAGAGAAATCATCTTTTCTTATGAAGCATGTTTGGTGTGATTCTATTGTGTGGGGAACCTTCTCTAGTGAGGTTGGAGTTTGAAAGAAAATCCTATACTGCTTCACAAGCTTTGAATTTTCCTTGTGCACCTCCTATCACAGTGAGGCACCTTTGATTCATGAGTTAACAGCTTCTATACAATTTAAACCTTAATGAAGAATTCTTCAGAATTATTTGTGGTCTTATTACCTTTTAAAAGTCATGTGAAACGATTTTTTTGTTCTAAGCCACGTTAGGCTTAAAGTTAGCAGTTTATGCATTTCTTGGGAGGGATCGATCATAGATACCGTTACTAGACACTTGGACAGCACAGATACCGTTACTAGACACTTGGACAGCACAGATACCGTTACTAGACACTTGGACAGCACAGATACCGTTACTAGACACTTGTACAGTACAGATACCGTTACTAGACACTTGGACAGCACAGATACCGTTACTAGACACTTGTACAGCATAGACACCGTTACTAGACACTTGTACAGTACAGATACCGTTACTAGACACTTGGACAGCACAGATACCGTTACTAGACACTTGGGCAGCATAGATACCGTTACTGGACATTTGGACAGCACAGATACTGTTACTAGACGCTTGGACAGCACAGATACCGTTACTAGACACTTGTACAGTACAGATACCGTTACTAGACACTTGGACAGCATAGATACCGTTACTAGACACTTGGACAGCACAGATACCGTTACTAGACACTTGGACAGCACAGATACCGTTACTAGACACTTGGATAGCATAGACACCGTTACTAGACACTTGTACAGTACAGATACCGTTACTAGACACTTGGACAGCACAGATACCGTTACTAGACACTTGGATAGCATAGACACCGTTACTAGACACTTGTACAGTACAGATACCGTTACTAGACACTTGGACAGTACAGATACCGTTACTAGACACTTGGGCAGTGTAGAAAGTGGTCAACGTCCGAATTTCTAGCGCTTAGCAATATATCACGTCAGTAAAATTAGAAAAGAATAAGGACGTTCTTGTAACATGAAAAAATTTCAACCTCAGAGAATCTGAAAATATTCAGGTATTATTAATATCGTTTTGAATCTGAAAATATTCAGGTATTATTAATATTGTTTTGAATCTGAAAATATTCAGGTATTATTAACATTGTTTTGAATCTGAAAATATTC